GTATTAAGCTTCTTCGTATCTAAGTCATCATAAAAATGGAAAGTAACATTCCTAGAAGAAAACTGCAAGACTAAATTCTAACTTTAAGAACAAACAAAACATGATAAACACAAAACAAAACATAATCATCAGTGATATCAAAATGGACACAAATAATTCACATTCACTTGCAAGACTAAATTCTAACTTTAAGAACAAACAAAACATGATAAAACACAAAACAAAACATAATCATCAGTGATATCAAAATGGACACAAATAATTCACATTCACATAAGTAAAAATGACCCAATTTATGAAAAATTGTATGAGTTTCTAAATAAAACTTTTTCTTTTACTAATGACTTTTTTTTCTAAATTGGGACTTTACTAATACCAAATTTCTATAACTATAATTCATATATGATCAGCATTAAAGAACTAAAATTAAAGCTTTGGAATGCCATCATTTTGATTTTATTGATGAGGGTAAGGGGCCTTTTTTTTTTTTTTTTGACTCAGCTGTTCTAGCCAAGAATAATTTGATAGTGGAAGACAGACTATAGCTCTAGATCAGCAGTTCTTAGTAGAGGTAATCTTGCTCCCCAGAAGACATTTGGTAACATCTATGGACATTTTTGTTCGTCACAGCCTTAGGTGGTGCTACTAGCATTATCCAAATGGACAGAGGGCAGGGGTCCTGCTAACCATCGTGACCTATAAAGAACAACAAAGAATAACCTGGCCCAAAATGTCAAGAGTTGGAAAACCCTTGCTGTAGATTTAGGTAAGGAGGCAAGCTTACCAGCTAGCATTACTTTTTATCAAAAATCTCCCACTAAAGCTTGAAGGAATTCTTTAGGAAGCATTTTATTGTAGGCATTTATAAAGATTTGTCACCATGTAGGAGAATTATACTCTTGGATTTCTGGCATTTATATGAATTTTTGCAATAGAAAATCAGAATATGATTTGCTAGATATTTATATTAATGTTAACTATATCAAGATCTCACCAATTCTTTCAAATCATAATTTCAGATGCATTTATCCAGCTCTGATACAAAAAGACCCTTTCAGAAAATATATATAACTTAATGATAGCTCAAGTAAATCAGACCCTCCTACATTTGCAAAGAAGCTCCAAGTAGGTATACCAATAACCATTCCACTTACATCTAGTGGAATCTGAGTTTTCCATGAAATACAATTTTTGAGAATGGGAAGAGGCAGGAAGAGATTCGGCTTACTTCAACACAATTGTCATACTACTATATGTATTATCTATTTTTCTTTTCTCCTGCAATGAGGAGTCTATGACAAGCATAGTGAGGCAAGGAAGAGGAGAAAGTCAGGAGAACATTTCTGCTTCCAAAAGATAAAATGCCTCCTCTGTTGTGCTTTGAAAAATGATGCAATGAAATTAATCCTTTCCTGGAGAGTGTGTTCTAAGGATATAAAAAACTACCATGTTCACTATGGTAGTTTTCTAGGAATATTAAAACTACTTAAGGAAAGGAATTTTCTTATTTTTAAAAACTAGCCAACACAAGTACTTAAATATGTAGAATTTCATTTAAATAAGTCAGTCAACAATTTTTTATAAAGTATTTAACACTTCATTGTAGAAACATAGGCAAAATGACTATTATAACCAAAATGAAAAATACTGTTCAATTTAAAAAATGTACTTAAACAAGAACCTGAAAAAGTTTATGATATGCATAACATTATTCAAGCAAAATTGCACTAGTATTACATAAATCAATAGTTTATAAAGGCCTCAATATGGCAAAGTTTAGAAATAGGTAGTATGCATGCACATAGTACAACAAAAAGTCTCCTTATAAAACAGCAGTTTTTTAATGCTTGTACAAAGGGATAAAGAGCAACCACAAACATATTTCATCTGTTAGGTTAATACATTATGACAGCTAAAAGTCAGTCATGTCTATCAGAGGAACAAAAAGCCCTCCACAACTTGTGAATAAATCTTTTGTGCCTTTAAAGATATTTGTATAAAAATGCTATCCTTTTTTATACAACTTAAATAATATCTTGCTTATTTCAATCAAAATTTGAAAACAAACAAACAAACAAAAAAAGTGAATGGGGTCCATGTGTTCTGTATAACCAAAAGAAACCAGAGTACCAGGGTAACATTTTAAACTCTCCACCTTTGATAATGGGCAGATATTGTTCTTCTATAACTTGGAAGGTCCTTGAAGAATACATTTTGGGTAGGGCAAATAATCGATTAGTTATATTGCATCTTGAAAATATTTACCAATTACTATATACCAAAATAGCTGTTTTGCTACTTCCCTTTGACCTAGCAAAGAGAATGCATTCACATAATTGGAATTCTTTTATCAATTTGTGTGCTTATACATTATCCTTTAGTTTTCAGTATGGTAAGGGGTTGGGTTAATTTTCCACAAAATTCACATGACTGGGAAGAAATGCATGACATCAGTACCCAATGCCCTGTTGTGCTCTAGGCTGGCTATTTACCTCGGGACTGAGGGAGAACAAAAGGTCTTATCTCATAGCAAGTGTGGTCTGTCCACTTTCGGTTATATTTTTGCTATGTTCTGCCACCTAAATATAACTATTGCTTACAGGGTGTATACGTTTAGTATATCACATAGAGCCCACTATGTTTTGGAAAATGTAGTCATCTGTGTTCATGCAAATTATTAATTTTACATATATTTTAAAGTTTTCCCCCCAAATTTTCACCTATCACTTGGCAATCTAAGTCTAATTTCAAAGCATGTGATGCTGAACTTGTGAGGGCTATATATTTTCAGTGGAGTCTGGATCAATCTTCATGGGCACAAAGAAGAGAGTTGACCATTCTATCATTCTTCCATCAATTTAAACAGAAAAATAAAATGACATTGTATCACAGCTTTCAGACCATATAATGAAAAAGTGCAGAGATTCTCTTGGTTGATTAAATAGAACCAAAAAAGTTCATATAAAATAGATTGCTCATATTCACACTACAAAGGAATACGTTGTTTTTAATTTTAACAAATTCAAAGGTGTGTCATATCAGCAGCATTGTTGTAAATTGTACTGTAGTGCAGTTATTTTTCATAAAAATACCATACAAATGGTCAATCAATAGTCATCAGCAAAAAATAAAACCCAAAAAACTCAAACAATTAACCAGGGAAAAGATAAAGAAGGAGGTAATGCTGATGCCAAAACAAGTATAATACTGTTGGAACATACAAAAGTAATCCTTATATTTTATACATTTATACAGCATATAAAAGTTATCGCTGATTATGCCACTGTCTCTCTTATACCAATTTCTATTTTCTTTGGAAGCAGTTCTTTCCTTTCATCAACACTTCCTAAGGAGTTTCGACAGTTTTGCCCATCCATATATAATTTTGCATACACTGGATTTGAGTAATTTGTTGGCTGAAAGAGAAAAATTAATAAATATAATATTATTACCAGTATTGACCACATTAGTTATTTTTATGATGTCTATCTTTTCATGGTAACAATATTTATATGCAACTCATTTAATTTACTAAATAATAAATATTTAAATGTATTTGAATTCTTTGTTTATAGGCTTTAGTCAACTTTAGCATGGTGTTAGATAAAAACATAATTTTATGTTTTTTGAGTTACTTGTGAACCTAAGGAAAGCTTGAACATACATGAAAAACCAGAAGAAATCTTTATGAAAGCTATGTTCAATGAGTATTATAAAAACATAAAATGTTAAAACATATTGTCATGTTTCTAGTCCATATGCCCTCCCCTAACACACATTTTATTGCTAATGCAAGCCTATCAGTGGCAGGTAAGATGTATTTACAGAAAATCATCTAATTGGTTGGTGCTTATGATCATTCAAAATAAAGTTAAAAACAAGGAAATAAAGAAAAATAAAAGTAAAGAAATGCACCAGTGGAGTAGACTTTAAAATAATGACAATATGTTTGCTTCAAACAACCTATACATATTTAAACAACCTATACGAATATTTTTGGATTCTCCCAAAGAATTGTGGAGTACATAGTCACCTTAAGTTGCACACAAACTTATAGCATTTTGATGTAGAATCGAGGCATGAAGCATCGACCTCTTGCAATTGGAAAAGATATACAATATTTATTATTTAACAAATTGCAGTTTAACCCAAAAAAGTATTGTCTAGTTTTTTTGCTTTGTCCTGTTGTGTTTGTTATCCGGTTTTTTTTTTCCCACTTTTTTGGTCTTTCCAAAAGCAGTGCATTGAATCTTCATTATAACAAGGAAACATTATTCGGTTTTTTTTTTTTTTTTCCACTTTTTTGGTCTTTCCAAAAGCAGTGCATTGAATCTTCATTATAACAAGGAAACATTATAATCTTGGAGCCATGCAAAGGAGACAAACATGGTAGAAAATGAGAATGAAAAGCGGTTGATGAGAGAGAACAAGAATGTGAAATCTCATCCCTAGGAATCTTGAGACCATATTTTATCACTCTTCTGCTTGAAATGACCATGTGACTTTGCATAGAGTGTCTTTCTCTATGCACTAGTTACTTAATCCAAAAAATGTTTGAGAATGGTTTCATTAGACCACCTCTAATTTCTCAATATGATGAGACATTTTAAAGAATATTTTTATTTAACTCCACATCAAATTAGTGTATTTTAAGTAAAGCATTTTCATAGCAAATGAATAAAACCAAACATGAATTTAAATTATTCAGTTTAAATTTCTGGATAGAATAGCAAATATTCATGTTCATTGCTAAGGGGCTATAACATTTTCAAATCCAGTAGAAGAGATATTTCTACTTCATAGCTTGCCTAAAATGATAACATGGTTTATATGTAATCTTGCAAAAACACATAATATAACCCCCCAATTTTAATGCTATTTTGAAATCTCTTGTGAATTAGAAAATTAAGAACAAACCTCTATCTAAGTCTAGTGTTCAGTCTTTGTGAGGGGTTCTGTGATGGAATGGATATGGAATAATGAATTTTCTTCTCTCACCCCAGCAGTTAGTGGTCCTTTCAAATCAGAGTTTAGGTAGATGGGCGGCGCTGTGTGTGGAAGCTTGAAAGCACTGGGCCCTCCCCCTATATACCTGGCCTGTGTACAAACAGAGAATTTTAGTTTCTGACCTAATATCATGGAACCATTTTTCATTGATATAAATCATATTAAGTCATAAAAATAACATAAAACATACTTTTTAGCCCTGGGCCATGAACAGTGTGTTCACGTTAGCTTTAACAACTTAAGAAAGAAATATTAATGTCGGATCCTTGCTTCACAGATAGACATTTCTATTAAGTTCAGCTTACTGATAGACATGTTATGTGCCTAGAAACTTCCATATATTTCTGTTCAACTTCATCCTTCCCAAAGAAATAATACCTTTGCTAACAGCTCTGTGGGAAATGCACTAGCTTCTCCTATTTAAGGTTTTGTCACTTTGAAAAGTTCTGACAATGGCTGATTTTAGATACTCAAATATCTGACTACTTCTAATTAAAGATTCATCATCACTCTATATTTTTAAGGGAAAAAATCAATTTCAAATTTGGTACTTTGAAACATATATCTGTATTTTAAAAAATCTGGCTCTCTAGTCTAAGACAGATTAATTAGTAATTAAATTGGCTCACTAAATATTCATGCAAGGGCATTGACCTTAGACTTTCTTGAGTCTAAGGGCAGAATTAGCCAATCTGGTACACTCATATTCATAATATAGTATTTATTTAGTGATCCAAAGGGAAAAAAAAGCTAGATGAAATTTTGAAGAATATAAAAATATTCATGATTATACATACTATTACAAATTTTAACCATCAACTTAACAATGGATGACCGCAAAGTTTGGGAGAAGGGCAAAGCTCTCAGGAAAAGATTTCAAAAATAAAGTCAAGTCAATATCGTGTCTTTATTTTCTCCCATGAAAGTTCATTTTGGAAAGTATTCAAAACAATCCATCCAAGTGAGAATTGAGATGAATTTGAGGATAAAATCAGTAAGTACTAATTCCCTTCCTTTTTTTAACTCTTGAAACTGTTTGTGGTTACCTCCATAGTAAAATCTACTTTATTAAGTACTTCAATCCTTTTGCTTATCATTGAACTGGAAGTGCTACCCACTTTGGAAATGATGAAAATGACAATGACTTCTACAAAAATTTTCTTTATGTGTAGTACAATTTATATTTGATTACATCATGCATACATCAAACCATTGTAATAAAGTGAATACTCTATGAAATACATTTGATCATGCTTTTTACTCCCTCCCTTTTTTTTGCTCTCTGCTTTTTATTACTTTCTGTACCTATTAGGACTATCTGTTTTTCTGTAGTTACTTCTTAGGCAACAATTCATATTTACATTTTAAACATCAGGAGCCAGTTAGAATCACCGAGGTCACATTCTGTGCAATTTTGGTTATTCAGTCAGCAAATTCGTAAATACATATTCATTGAGTATTATATGCTAAGAACATTAAAAATGTATTTGAGGGGTACTGAAGCACAGTTTTATTTTCCAGGAATAAATATGGAAACTTTTTAAAGTGGTGTACTAAAAAAACTATTTTCTTTAAGTATCCCAAATTATATTAATTCTGTCATTAGAAATAAAAATGATGGGGGAAACATGAGAACTCTTCTTCATGTGAAAATTGTTTAAAATACGTCTTCTTCAGTTCATATAATACTTATGGACACTGTATTTTTATTTCTAAAAATGCAAAGAATTTCAAAAGTCTATCATTTAAGATGTCTTTCTCCTTTGTAGATAAAACATCAAATAACAGTGTATAGAGTATATATAGTCTCTCATTTTGAGTAGAAAATACTAAAACTAAGTTACCATAATATATTTTATGAAAAATTTCAGAAGAAGTCATTTACTGAATTAATAATAAATAATAACTATAAAATTATTTCAAATTTGAAAAAAAATTTATAATATCATCTGATAGTGTAAAATTTATTCGTGCAGTACTGATTGATTAATTTTCATAGAAATGAATGAGTGATCATCATTTCAGGCTTAGGAAGTTCTATCATGAATTAATTGAATACATGGGACCCTATTCAACTTCTTCAGGAATAGCTGTCACCATGAGTACATTTAGATATAAACTGGCCACTGTGATTATTTGCAATACAAAGATGTATTTTGGACAAAGTACCTTTAATAAATCAGAAAACAAATAAATAAATACTTAATAAATGAATAAGCTAAGAAAATTATTCTATAATAGTAAGTTAGTACTCTTAATTCAGAGAAAAATATTCTAAAATTATGCAAAATATTCAAATAATTCTCTAAAGCAAAGCTTTGGATGTTTAATTTATCTGGATAATTGTATTATTTATTTATCTTCAAAGGTGCCAACCTGAGCTTGTGGTAATAAGAACTAACAGAGACTTTAAAAAGGCTTCATTATTAGGCTATATGTATCAATGATGTGTTTAAAATCAATAAAAATTTATAGCAGATGAAAAATATATCTCAAAAGTGATCTGATTACAAAAGAAATCAGAAGATGCAGCTTAGCTGGCTTTTCAATGAAACACTGTCAAAAATAAAATAATTATTTGGAAATGATGTACTGTACTCTTTTTATAATGAAAAATAAATCAGCCAATATTTTAAAACTAAGCTGAATATTTAGTGCTAGCATCTCAACATATTTGAATATGATATTATTTTATTATTTTTTTATTTTTATTTTTATTTATTTATTTTTCCCCCTTTTTGTCTTTTTTCGTGTCCGGCAATGGATTGCAACCCTCAGTGTCACGCCCGTACTGGACCGGGACCGGCAACGGGATCGCAACCCTCGGTGTTGCTCCCGCACCTCACTCAGCCAGTGAGCGGGAATCAGTCTGTATGTGGGATCCGAACCCTCGGCGGGAGTGCCACCGCGCTCGCAAGCGGCGCACTGTAGCAGTGCGCCACCGGGCCGGCTCTGAATATGATATTATTTTAAATAAATTGTACATGCTCATGAACTAACTGAATAGATATGTATTTTCTAAAAATGTTATATTAACTTGCATGCTTCAGCTGAATGCAGTCCATGATTGTATTTTTTCCTTTAGAAGAGTCTGTAACATTCAATGCATTCTAAAGGCCTTCACTATAACTTCAGATATAAGAAACGAATGATAAAATCCAGAACCATATAATAGAGATATGAATCAAGAATGTTAGTGTTCATTCTCCATCATCTTAAGACACATTACCGTTGTTGGATCTATCATAAAGCCAGGATCTAAGAGACCTCCATCGTGATCATGATCCACCTCATACATGTTATAAGATGGATTGCCAATTTCTACATTTATTCCTCCATTGATAATAGGTTGTCTTCTAATTGTTTTTGTCCTAGAATACATGAACATTTACATAAGTGCAAATTGTGGAAATATCACAGTTAAGGTACATGAAACTATCATATTTATAGATTTACTTGCTTATCTTAATATGACCAATAGAGTATACAAATGAAATATTTCTGAAATAAACTGAATAAATGAAATTTGTCAAGTCACAGAGGAACAAGAAAATCATACTTTGATAAGTCATTTTCCCAATTACTTTGACTTTACAATAAAAATACGCTGAAAACAAATTCCTCCTAAATAGCTAATACCACATTAATTGAAATTGAACATTCACCAGTTATCTTTTTAAATTCTATTTTTTCTCCTTCCTTCTGAAAACTGTCCTTGACAAAGTAGTGATAAAGAAACTTTGAAATAGATTGTTTTTAATCCCCAAGCCACATGACTAGAATTCTGTTTTACATAATTGAAAAACTGACTCTCAATCTTTTCTGGATAATAATAATCTCTCCTGGATAATGTCCTGAATAATAACCCTACAGACGACCCACTCCTTCTGGATTTTTATAACTGCATTTTTATAAAAATTGAAATAATGATACTTCTAGTGATATATAAAATAAATAAATGCACTATTTGTGAATGAAGTGTACAATTTGTGACATGCATTTATTTATATTCAGTATCATTGTACTGATATTACTAATCACACATATTTGTATAAGATACTTTTCAGAAATCCTTGCTGTTTCAAAGAAAGACTACTGCAAATGTAAAATCCAACCAAAATTTTAAATATGGCCCCTTGTTACTGTTGTTAGAATATGTAAATGGAGCCATTCCATCAACATAACATGGAGGATGAGTTGTCTAAATCATAATCACTTAAAATGAAATAGAGGGATAAAATGGTTCGAAAACATGATTTTGCAGTTGGAATAACTAAGTCATGTTTTAAGAGATAAAAAATCACACTAGGTTTCTGCAACTGTTTGTGTGATTTATTCACTAACTGTTAATCTAGAACATTGTGTCTTACCTTCTTTTTCTTTTACAAAGCACTAAACCAATTACTAAGGTGGTTATCAAAGTCACCAAGAGGACGAGAGGCACAATGATGGCAATGCTTCCTGGAAAATAAATGAAAAAATAGATAAACAAATAAATAAAATGAAGTAAAGATTGATATAACTGTACATTTTATTATTCCAAATCACTTGACCATCGACATAATAAAAATAAAGCTTAGCCCAAATGTTTATAGTCCTAGTTTATAACTGCCTTACAGAAAAATTGCTCCCCTATTAAGTACTCGATCTGCTGGAAATGTTTCTATAGAGATATCTCATTTATATGTTGCATTTAAAAACTTTGACATTAGAGATACTGACTTTGTCAGTCTCAGTTTACTGGTTCCCACCACGCACATTTACTTGCAATGATGCTTGTTCATGCTGGTAACTACTTGTAAACCAACTATGACTGAATACACACACAATTTCACTGGGCACATTCCCACCCTTAGGTTTGTTCCCTTAGCTATACATACTTCCTGGACACAAGTACATGTGGCAAGTTAAATGGCAGCCTGGCAAAACAAAAGGGATGTCAGTGTTGGATTTGGAAGGACATAAATATCGGTTTCACAAGTTAGTCAAAGTGAGACCTGAGTAGGTTATTTAAACTCTTTGAGGCTCATGCTTTTCACCAATAAAACAGAGACCAGACGACTTGTCACCCAAGGCTGGTAGCTTGATTCAGCAAAACAAGGGATAAAGGGGATTCTTTATCTAAGTTCCAGTTCCAGAATAGTTTCAGCAAAACATATTTGGAGGTTTGGCTTATGTTACAAATGTCCATTTACCCCTACTTTTGTGTGCATAAGAATGGTCTTAAGTTCTATCACTAATGGAACAGATCCTCAAAAGTGGTAAGAGAAACTTGGTATTAGTTTTTA